ACCACCTGATTGTCCGAAAAGCAAGATGGCTCCGTGCTTTGGATGGGCACGTTAAGCCGTCGGTCCCGGTTGCTGTATATGATCGATCATTTAGACGGCGGTCGTTACACAACCATGTCAGAGGCGTGTTACTTGCAGAAGGCGGTTGAAAAACTCTGACACCAGGGTAAGGGTTTATCGTGTCGTTGGACGACTTGGTACCCCACTCGAAGAGAGAGAGATAGAGTAGATCCCTTCTTGTTCCAGTGATAGCCACAATAATAATAAATAATAGCCAACAAAAGATTATAGTAGACTGGATAAGCACACAACTCTTGAACAGTGCGGTCTGGTCTGCATGACGGAATACTAAACACATCTGGTAGGTTCTCAAGATATTGGCGGTTTAATAAAGATCGGGTATCCAAAGGACCTATATTGCTTTAATAGGGTTGCCAGACTTATGAGGATACCCGAGAATGCCTGTTTTCGGTATTTTCGTACAATCATATGTTTTCTACCCGAATATAAAGACCGAGCGTGGCGGAGTGCCGCCCGGTCTTTCTGGCATCCCCAAACAAACCAGTCATTTTGACGGCGCACCACGTCTAAAAAGATGGTTGGCACGAACGTAATTTTTCTTGCATTAAAATTCGCTCAGAATCATATTCTGACGTTCTTGTTCTTGGAGTGAGTTTGCTGTTTTGATATTGTAATAGGTACTTTGAGATATTTGACTATATTGAGATTTCTTCTTGGCCCAGTGATACGATATAGCCACAATAATTATAATAGCCAACAAAGGACTGGATAAGCACACAGCTCGACAACAGTGCGGTCTGCTGAACACATCTGGTAGGTTCTCAAGATATTGGCGGTTTAATAAACTAACTATACGTATGGAACACCTTTTTAAAATATTGACAGAATGTAATTCCATTTACTTGTCAATCACTGAGGCATAAAGTTACATGCTGTGTGGTTAGCCTGGCCAGCCCCGAGGCAGTGCCTTTATTTTTATTTTTTTTTAGTTTAGAGTAGGAACACAAATTGTTATAAAAAATAGAAAATTTTGCATTAGAAATTTTCTCTTTTTTAAGTTTGAATTAGAATGTGACTTTCTTAAAGAGAATCTTGTAAATTCCTACTAAGAAATAAATTATTGAATTTGAATTTGAATTTGAATTTGAAAGATCGGGTATCCAAAGGACCTATATTGCTTGCCATTTGGGCTGCCAGTTGCCGTGTGATATCGGCTTAGTATAGCATCACCCCATTTCTACCCGTGGGAGTCGTAAAAAGCGACTAAGGGATAATTATCCAGGGAATGGGCAGCAGCGTTCCCTGTGAAATTAAACAACTTGCACTGCGCTCGCCAATCCGCCTGCCAAGCGTGGTGAGTATGGCAATACCCCCCAATATGGGGGAGGTCCATGTCCAGCAGTGGACTGTTGTGGCTGTAAAGGTAAGGGCTGCCAGTTTACCCGAGTGATTCTAGTTTTTTGCATTTTTGTAAAAACGTATTTCTCTGTTTATTTTCCGAATAATGCATGTAGACACTCTTATTTTATTAAATTAACGCCTATTGTAGGCAAGCCCATATTATTTTATTCTTTCAAAAATAATTATGAAACAGAAAAAAGGCATTTTTGATTTTCTATGAAGAAGGTAATAGCTAATATTTTCTGTAATAAATATAAAGTCTTGTTTAAATAAAATTATAGGAAAGTAATCAGAACTCACTCTTGAGTTAGTTAGTATTATTGTCAATCACAAAATCACAATAAAAAGTTACATTCAAATTAAAAGAAGTTTATTTCATCTCTCAGGATTCAAGCTTTATAATGTTTTTTTCGCTACCTAGCTAGGTACTTGGTATTAAGTCCCGAGACAGAAACTCGTAATTCACAACTGGCAACCCTATAGTTACGGAGCGTAGTGCTAGTGATAGCTTTGGTAAATCTACAAATGGGACCGTAAAACGGCTTAGGATAATATGAGAATTTATTTTCAAAGTTTAGTACTAAGATAACAAATTTTGGGTAAGATTTGACTACAAACTAGATACAAAGTAAGTATCTGATAATTATGTGGATTTGACCGTTATTTAAACATTTGTACTCAGTTAAGGTATGGTACGCATATTTACCCGAATTCCTCAGGATGGTTATGGTTTTCGAGAGTATGTATGTATGTATCCGGAAATTCGTCTTCACGGGCTACAGCCCTAACGGTTGGGCGGATCTTTATAGTACCCTTATTTTCCAAGCGTCGCGACAACGACGCCGTCAAATTTTGACAATTTTTTTCATATTTTATGGGATGCGGTCGGGTTTTTCTACAAGACCGCAGTTGTAGAAAAACCCGACCGCATCCCATACAAACTCTTAGCTTCTCAGCGCGCTGTCAACGTGACGGCGTCGTGGCGCGCCGCAACGACGCCGACGCTCGGTCTTTCTGGTTCCCCATACAAACCCATATAAACCAGTCATTTGACAGCAACAACGACGCGCGTCGTTGTCGCTGTCGCTTGGTTTTTAAGCCTACACTTACATGTGAAGTGTCGTTAGATTCATCTCAGCAGCATGAGTGACACTGGCTATAATAAAAATACATATATGCATAAAAAATGGCGGCCATTTATCGCAAAATACAAAATTGAAATTACCACAGTCGGGTTTGTGTTTGTGTTTTTAAATACATCTGTGTGTTTATTTCAAAGATGATATCAAAATGTACATGAATGATGTTGTTTATGTGCTATGTACCTTAGAGTAGATGGGCATTCGGCGGCCTGGGCCTCAAGTCTGCTATTTTTAGCCATTGTAATTCTATTGCCACTGCACTATATTTGTAGAACGATTTTCATTTAGCAGACTTCTGCTCCTGACCCTGATTTTCCCGCCATGTGTTATACATGTAAACCTTCCTTTTGATTCACTCTTTCTACTGCAGAAAACTGCATCAAAATCCGTTGCGTAGTTTAAGAGGAGATAGCAAATTCCACGTCAAACAGACAGACAGAGAAACGCAAAAAGCGACTTTATTTTATACCATATCGATATTTAACATTATGTTATAATTATAACAACATGAACTAGCCAAGGACATCTACATTACAATTGAGTGTCCGAATTCAATTTCAACCATTCTCCTTCCATCTAATTTACAACGTTTTTAGGGTGCCGTACCTGAAGGTTCGAAACGGGACTCTATTGCTGAGACTTCGTTGTCTGTCTGTCCGTATATCAAAAGGCTGTATCTCATAATAGTTAGAAACTTGAAATGTTTACTGAACATGTATTACTATTGTCGCTATAACAACAGTTACTAAAAATTAGAATTAAATAAAAAATAAAGAGGGACTCTTATGTAACAAACGTGATTTTTATGCTTTTTTGTTCAAAATACTTAGAACGGTCCCCTCTGTGCGCGAATTCGACTCGCACTTGGCCGATCTTTTTTTAGAATTTGTATTTGATCTGAGCTATCTGGCGATCGAATCTTTTGTAGGACTGCGAATAGTGTGGTATATTCAACAAAATCTAGATCTTGAGTTTCATCTGACACCCGGCTTAACGATGTTTGGTAAAGTTGGATTCCTCTTGACTTTTTTTTTTTTTTATCTATGATGGGCTTACTCTTGACCCCAATCTTACCCTAGAGCAGAGATGGGATCTACGGTGGAGCGAGCTTGCCCAGAAGATGCCTATTCACTCTAGACTTAAAGAGATTCAGGTTATATGCACTCGGAAATACAGACGCAGGCAGGGAATTCCATTCTTTAGCCGTGCGCATAATGAAAGATGATTTGAAGCGCTTAGTGCGTAATGTGGGTATATCAACTAAGAACGGATGGTAGTCGGCCGTGCGTCTGGATGTCCGATGGAAGAAAGGAGACGGTGGTATGAGCTCATGCAGCTCTTGATGCCTTGAATCAGAATCCGGAGTCTACAAAAAATCGTATGGTGGACGAAGGAATTAAAGGGAACCAGTACTTATAACTCGATCCCTTAAATGGGTAGGTTGGTGCCTTTATCCAGGATTTTTTGCAGTTTATCCCAGAATTACCCTTTCAGGTTTAATGATTCAACCCTCGAGCCCTTTCAGTCGCGGTTAACCATTCATGCCGGCTATACCCTGATGCCCTTAGTTAACACGTTAACGTGCTTTTTTAACCCTTTTATAATGCAAGGGAGAAAAATGAGGTTTTAGGGATACAGCAAGGTTTTAATGTATACTTTTATTTTCAAAACTTACTGGTGCCCGCGGCGTGACTTCGATGTAAGGTTACTTAGAATTAATTTTGTTCCGGGAAACGCCTTATTACCACGGAAAAAGACTTTTTACGTTATTTGTGTACTTACTTAGGTGGGGATCACTTGTAGCGTCTGTTGTTGCGGTATTTTAATGCTGCGTAGCGCATGCATTACAAAAAATACGAATTTCCACCCTATTGTCATACAAATACGGTTTCTATAAAACGGTTTGACAGACGCATCCTTCGGCGCAACGTAAATAAGTGCAGACGTTGTGTATGGTCCCCGCCGTGCCGTGTCGAATAGGCCATATTTGACAGCTGCCAAACCCATAATAGGAGACAATAAAGAATAATAGACCTTATGTCATAGCATTAACAAGATTTTGACAGCTGTCAAATATGTCCTATTCGAACGGCCGTACTGTAGGTAATACAATTTATGAGAAACTTCGTTTTCCACGCTCAAATGTTTGTGTATTTTGATGAACCTATTGTTTTCATAGGACGATATTTGTGTGAACATCGTGAATGTTGTGAATATAACAAATAACAATCAAGTCATGTTTTGGGTTGTGTTGTACGAATAATAACACAGTTTGGAGAACGAATTATTTTCGAATTCATTTAGTGCGATGCTCGTGTCTGCGTGTGTGTGTGTGTGTGTATGTGTGTGTGTGTGTATATATATGTGTGTGTGTGTGTGTGTGTATGTGTGTGTGTGTGTGTGTGTGTGTGTTTGTGTTTTTATTATTCTGTTGATGACCGATGTGGCGCAGTGGAAGCGCGACTGCCTGCGACGCAGACGGTTCTGGATTCGATTCCCGGTACCCAACTTGGACTTCATTTGGTAATTAGTAGAGTCCAAGTTGGGTCCTATCGTACCTACCGTTGCGTACAACCGGAACGGTAGGTACGATAGGCAATTTAAAAAATATATGGCGACACTAGAAAGTGTCCGAAAAGGCGGATAATTTAAAGTCCTAAATAAACACAATTTCATTGTAGGTATGTAATTTTTGTAATATTATGGTTCTCAAATAGGTTTATTATTTGTCGAACGTAGCGATATTCAGCTGTGGCCCAAGTCTAATAAAACATGGTCTTACATTCCCAGAGAAACATAAGCCTACATCACTAGTATTGCCACTTTATTTCAATAAAATACGTTATGGGGTAAATTCAATCTAAGAAAAATGAGTTAAAACATTTCTGAATAATTTTATAATTTAGATTTACGTGTGTATTAACTTGAACTTAACAACAACACTTAAATTGTATTTAGTTAACAGTATCTTATATGATTTACAAAAATAATCATAAGAGTGGGTAATTTTGGTAACCCACAAGCATGATGGATGACGTAGGCTTGTGTTAGTCGCGTGGTTCACGAGTCTCGGAATGGAATACCAGTGGCCTATTATGACTACAATCATTTACACGGCCTTAATGCTCTGCCTATCCCACAAGGGAATATGGCATGACGTGCGTGTGTGTATGTGTGTGTAGTTTTGGTACTCGCTACATCTTTGACCGAATAACAAAAGCCAACTCAACTCGTAAGTTCTATCTGAAGTTTACTTAGGCTAAGATAGGGTTGGCAATAGATGAGAATGTTTATCCAGAAACTTATCTTATAACAAGAAGCTAGGAAAGTACCAAAGGCTTTTAGGGGTTGAACCGATCCATGAAACTAAATAAACAACTTTTCTCAAGGATTTGGATGTCCACTATTACATAATGATACTTTTTAAGGATTTTGTGCTTCACTTTGCGTTTTAAGAAAATTTACGCGCACTATGTCATATTACCCAAATAAATGAGAAATGTCACGTCGTATTAGGATTACAAAAGAACGGAAACATTATACTAAATTACCTACTCTTAGATCTGACTGCGGTGAACTCTGGTGAACTCAATTCTCTAATGATACTTTTTCCTACCCTCCTTTTAAAGCCATTGAACAAGCTACCTTAGCTATGTTAATTTTTTTATGAGATATGGTCTTGTTGGTGGAGCAATTTTTATTCTTGTCTATTTCCTGCCAATGTTTTGACATCTTAATAAGACATTAAGTGAAAAATGTGCATCTTGATTCTTCCTTCCCTTCAACGATGTTCTTTATAAACTTGTTGTGTCGTAACAAGACGTGGCAAATTATCTTGCCTCTTCGGTTTTCGATTATCTTCAGAAGACAAAGATCCTCTGCAATACTTTATTAACTAATACGGCTTACTATGCATCTGCGGAGGCGTGGTTGAGATAGAATTATCCTTTGAGGTACGAAAACAGACGCAAAGAACCTTATTTCCTAATGCAGAAAAAATGCATAGGTACGCATACTAACATGAATACAAATCCTTGAGAGTTGCAAACTCTACTTCAAGGAATATAAAATTGTCACATTCCGTTCTCTCTACGTAGACCAGATTTTTATAAAGAAAATCTTACACAAGTTACAAAAAATTAGGATGTTCACAGCTTTAACTCCCGCTCCAAAAGTCACCGAATCCTACCACTTTCTAGATTGAGACAATTCGGTACTAGAGATATAGTTTACGCTCAGCCTACCCCGCAGGTGTGATATAAATATGTATGTTATGTATGTTATAATATAAAACATAATTGAGTGAGAACCCTAGCAGTTCAAAGTTAGTATCACGTAGGAATGGCAAACTGACCAAAGAACAGCCAGCCAACTCAATGAAACTAAGTTTGGTTTGGTTACTCTAACATTTTTATATTAAAATCAACGGTAATAGTACTATTATTCTGTGGTTATAGCTGTGTAGGCCACGCTCCCAGAGATCAAATTTTACTGGTTATTTTAGTGATTGTACGAAAAACCAGTTTAAGTGTTTTGGTTGATTTAATGGTTTGGTTGTTGTACTGCTAGTAGATACATTATTCTGAATGACTTTCTGGTCAGATGTGGTGTAAATGGCCGTTTTTCACAGCCGTTTACGCTCTGCTGACCCCGCAGCAGGGATATAGCCATGATATACTTATGTTTATTTACACTCGTTTCGTAATATTCGTTTTACAGAATCGAAAGTACGAACGTAATGAACTGCATTACGAATATACAGCCTTTAAAAAAAACTTTCATACTACTGGCAGCTACATAAAGTAACTCGATTTCTGGTATTTGAAAAAAAATTCAACGAATTGACCCGCGTACCAAATTATAATCTGTTCCAATTTGATACTGGCCAACAGTAAGTCAAATGAAAAAAAAGAACAAAGTGTCACCCCGGGCGGGACGACACTTGAAATTATGAGGACTTATTTATTATTAAATCTTTGCTTCAAATCATTTTTCGAATTAAAATTCACCGATAAATGCTTTTTAATTTTAAAAGTTGTTCAGTTTTTATGAGCCTCCATTTTAACGTTTAGTTAAAAAGTTACTTATGTACAAAAGTCGTTCAGTTGGTGGTTCAGTAGATAGGCTTGCAATCGCCGTAGTGCAGTGCGGAGGTTTGAATTATTTTTCATAGTTTTTCTTGTAGAGTGTAGATAAAATAGTGTATGCAACTGCAAATCATTAGGCTTTAGAATGCTCGTGTCAAACTATTATCACACTCGGCTGCGCCTCGTGTGATAAACAGACACTCTCATCCTAAAGCCTCTCATTATTAGGCAGTTGCATATACTACTATTATGTATGGAGAAAAAAGGTTTATTGGAAGATCAAGCGAAAGCACGGCATCAACATGTTTCGAATCGATTACTTACGTACGATACATTTTACTTGACTGAGTTTTGTACACAATGGAAAAATCTATCGAAGCGATAAGCTGATTTCCAATACGGCGTGATTGAACATGGAGGAAATCAGCGACTCAGATCCATTAAAGTCACTGTAGGTAAGCTCCTAATAGAAAATAGTTTTTCCTTAACAACCGGATATCACCTGAACTGAAGTAAATTCCTAATATTCAAGCAGCCTGCAGGCCGTTTGTGTTTGTCACAAAAAATTATCTTCATTGCATGCATCCAGTATAAGCATCTAAAAGAGTTTACTATTTTTGTTCAACTAAGTGAGTTGAGTGCTAATTTTGAAATCCGAGGTAGCGAAGGATACTAAAATTGAATCACATTCAAAAAAGAAAATAATTCAAAAGTAAGTATCCTGAGCTCAATGAGGGTTTCAAAAGCACGAGTTGTAAATGTGTTTGCTTTCGTGTGGTACACGCAACTTTTCACCTCTAACAGTGAGAAAATTATATTTTTAAGGTTTTGTTCCTTATGGCTAGGCAAAGGGTGTGACTATACTGCCTATTATTTAGTCTATAAATAATCCCGACAAACATATTTTCAAAGATGCGTTTAGAAATTTTACAAAATGTCAATATTTAGAAGTTTTCGTTCTGAAATCGCCGCCATTATTACGACTAGTTTTTGGAAACTATATTGTTAAATTAGATGTTCGAAATTCAAATCACTTTTCTCCACTACATGATTGATTAATCACTACGTAATTTGAATTTCGAACGATGGATAAAGACGACCTTTGTCGACTAAATTTACGCAGCAAAATAGTTCTTTTCAAGATGGTGAGGTGAAAAACTCTTTTTTTGTAACTATCAACTACGACCATAGACTTATATATATATAAACTAGCGTTTATAGACCAACTGACAGCTCGATCTCGCGTGACCAATTTTGGTTTTGGCGCGCTTACCTCAGCTAGTGATGTACATTATTCAATTTGGAGGGTTATCGATAATTTCAAATAAAAAATGGTATGAAGATTTCAACTTTATTTATTTGTTCAATTGAAATGTTGACATAATGCTTTCTTTGCTGCGGCGGGTCATTTCCTTTTTGCAGTCAGCATATTTCCGACGTAGGTTTCTTTATAGAATTTGCTGAGAAGGTTGTTCGTAAGAATCCTGGTCAATAGGCGCTATCTTCACTAATAAGACGTGCGAAACCAGAAATAGAATGACATCTGTCAGACAAGTGATCGCCGGTGGTCAAACACATCTTTCTTCATCCTTCAATGTTGAGACGTAGATGGGCCTATGTCACGGTTTACGTACGATGATGCGAATCTCTCGTTAATACGACCCTGAAAATAATAGGTATTAATAAGTATTTCGCATGAGTCACCGAGTCGATCTCTAATAACTTGATCTAAAGTGTATCTGTTGGATGTAGTTGAAAATAATGTTATATGTATTTGTAAAAAACTATGTCTGAATTGTTCAAGTAACTATTTAGCGAATCTTTAAAATTTGCATAATTTTTGTTGTACTCAAAATGTTTGAATAGTATTCAAAGTATGTAAGGTACCTACTATTACGGGATGGGTCAGGATTTACTTTTTAAAAAAAAGAATTTTATTTAGCTGAAATTATATTTTAAAGAAAAACACGGGAAATATAATAAAGAGGTGTGCGCCCGACGGGTGTCCAAGTCAATCTGAATTTGCGATGATTTATTAGCTTTTATGAAAACAGCGGTTTCCTATTGCATTGACGACAATGCAATAGGTATACGCATTCAGCGTTTTATGATGCGTATGTACTCTATATAATTATGATATAACAACCCCCCCGTTAAGATCGATCATCACATCTCAAAGTGATGAGAGATTTGACTCTAGTGGGCTTGGACAAGCGTTTGACTAAAAGAATACAAAGTTATATAAAAAGGTAATCTTAAAAGTAATTAAAACTAAGTTTTACTGTTCATGGCTTTTGCTGGCAATAAAGATGTTTCTTTTGACTGGAGAAGGAGTGACTCTAGTGTCATTCTCATCTGAAGAAGATTCTGAAATATCTACATTTTTATCTTGAACTATTACCATAGGCATGACAGACTTT